CAGATTTCAGCAAGGATATGGAGAAAAGAGAACCCTTGCACACCTTTGGTAGGAATGTAAATTGATACAGTCACTACAGAAAACAGTATGGAGGGTTCTCAAAAAAATTAAAAGTAGAAATACCATATGATCCATCAATCCTACTTCTGGGTATATATCCAAAAGAAATGAAATTGGTATCTTGAAGCATTATCTATACAACCAGGTACACTGAAGCTTTACTTACAATAGCCAAGGCATAGAAACAACCTAAGTATCGATCATGGATGAATGGAAAAAGAAAATGTGGTATATATAAATAATGGAATATTATGCAGCCACAAAAAGGAATGATTCCTGCCAGTTGCAACAACATAGATAAACTTTGAGAGCATCGTGCTAAATGAAGTAAGTCAGACAGAGAAAGACATACAGTGTATCATCTCATTACTTGTAGATCTAAAAAAAAGTGAACTCACAGAAACAGAGAGTAGACTGGTGGTTGCCAGAGGCTGAGGGGTGGGAGAAATGAGAGAATGTGGTCAAAGGGTGTAAACTTCTAATTATACGATGAATCAGTTCTAATGATGTAATGTACAGCATGGTGAATATAGTTAACAATACTGTACTGTACACTTGAAAGTTGCTAAAACTGTAGATACTAAATGTTTTCATAACACACACACAAAAACATTGACTATGAGAGGTAATGGTTGCGTTAACTAACCTTATTGTGGTAATCATTTCACAATAGCATATATTATAACATACTTATAACAAATATAAATCATCTCATTGTTATATGTACACAATGTTATATGTCAATAATATTTCAATAAACATGGAGAAAAATTAAAGGAAAAAAGTGTTCTTAGGTAAATGGATAGAGAAATACAAAACAGAGCATAAAACACACACACACACACACACAAATCATAATGGCTACATTATTTTACATTCAATGGTAAAAAGAAACAAACTTTTCAAAACATTTCTGAATTGCTCTTTCTTTCATCTGAAGAACTCACTCTGATACATGCCTTGATATGGCAAAAAGAAAAAATAGCAAAGCCTTCCTCTAGCAAGGTCTCTCATTCAACTTTACACTTAGTGACGTCTGGACAGGGTCAATCTCACAAAGAGAAATCAAAACTATTATCAAAATATTACATGAGGAAGGAGGGGTGAGCATACTTTGTAATAAGAGGCTCTTTCATTAACAGTAAAGACATAAGCTATTTCCTGTTTATACATTGTAACGGTCATCAGCAAGATATAGATATAGATACAGATATAGATAAAAATATAGAAGTTTCAATTTCTATATTTAAAGTGGAAGAACAATATAAAAATGTGTATCCATAATTCAAAAAGCAGTATTACAACCCAATAAGATACATTTTCAAGTAGTATAATAGAAAATATTAAGAATAAAATGAAAAATATACTACATTGACTAAATAGCAGAGTAAAGATTAACAGAAGAATCAGTGAACTTAAAGATAAATCAATAGAAACTACCAAAGCCAAACAAAACAACAAAAAACCAGAAGGGGAAAAAGTTTGAAGAAAATTTAGAGGCCCTCAGAGATCTGTGAAACAAAACAAATAGTCCAACACACATATAATTGAAATCCTAGAATGAAAGACATGGGAAAAAATAATGGCTGAAAACTTCTGCAAATTGGTGGAAAAACAGTCTACGGATGCAACAAGATCAACAAACTTGCAAGCGAGACAATCATGAAGAAAATGAGTCCTAGACACATCAAACTGCTGAGGCCCATTGACAGAGAGAACAATCTTGAAATTAGCCAGAGAAAGACAACATGTTATATACAGGGTAACAAGATAGCAGCAGCTTACCTGTTATCAGAAACTAAAGTATGCTGGAAAGTACCGGAGTGGGACACTCGGACAGCTAAAAGGAAAAGACTATAACTAGAATTCCACATATAAAAAAGATAAATCTCAAGAACAAAGGTGACAAAGAGATATGTTCAGATCAAAGAAACTTAAGAGAATTCATCACTGGCACATCTGTGCTACCAAAAACGTTAGAGGTCTTCAGGTTGAAGGAAATGATTGAAATGCCAACTCAGATCTCTAAGAAAGAATGATGAGCATGAAAAATGGTAAATATGTGGGTGAATGTGAAAGATTACACAAACTTACTTTATTTTTTTAAAAGACATATGGTTCTCTAGAGGAAAAGCTACAACACTGTGAAGTGTAGATAACAGCACGTATAGAGTTAATACATATGATAGCAATAGCACTAACTAGTAAATATCTGATGCTTTTGTAAGAAGGGAGGACACATACAAACACAGAAACAAAGGAAAGAAGGCCATGTGAACACGGAGTCAGAGAAAAATAACTGCCAACTGAGAATTCTATATCCAGTACTTCAAAATGCTGTGTCATTTCCTTCCGGTCTCCATGTTTTCTAATGAAAATTCTCCTGTCTTTCAAATCATTGCTCCCTTATGGTAATAAATCTAGGTGCTTTCAAGATTTATTTTATATCTTTAGTATTCAGCAGTCTGAACATTCATTTCTTTGGGTTTAACTTGTTTGGAGTTTTCTCAGCTTCTTGAATCTGTAGATTTATGTATTTCAGTAAATGTCAGATGTTTTCATTACTATAGAGAAAGCCCATTTGCAATAACAATGTAGAAGATTAAATAGGAATAAATCTAACAAGAAATATGTAAAGCCTATAGAAGAAAAATGTTAAAACACTCATGAAAGATATAAAAATAGTCTTGAAAAAATGTAAAGATAACCCCTATTCTTAGACTGATTCAACATTCTTAAGATGTAGTTCTAAACTAATTTATAAATTCATGCAATTTCAATACAAATACCAACAAGCTATTTTACAGAACTATAAAATCTAATAATAACACTCTTACAGAAAAATAAACATACAAGAATAGGAATACACTAAGAAAGAAAAATTACAAGGGGAGTCTAGCAGTAACAATGTTTAAAATATACCACAAACCCTATATACTTAAAACTGTCAAACTAGTACATGCATAGACAAATAAAACATTGGTATAGAATATCAAATCAGAAATAGATCTCAATACATATGCTAAGTTAGTATATGACAAAGGAGGCATCTCAAATCATTAGGGAAAATATGGACTTTTTAATAAATGGTGATGGTGTAACTGGATAATCATTTGGAAAAAATAAAATTAGATCCATATCTCACACAATAATAAGGAAAACTACAAATCGACTAGAGATCTAAATGTTAAAAAATGAAACCATACAAGTACTTAGAAGGCCACTTGGATGAATTACTCTTTAAACTAGGTATAAGGAAAGTCTAACTATGAGTCAAAATCCAAAGGCAACAAAAGATGGCTGCACTTGACTATGTTAAAATAAAAATACTCACATGCTCAAAAAAGGCCACAAAAACAAAGTCAAAAGATAACTGACACACTGGAAAAATATATTTGTGTCATATACCACAAAGGACTGATATTCCACTAATATATGTGGAATATAAGACCAAGAACCTGACATAAAGATGGGGAAAGGACATGAAAGAGTTCCTAACGGCCAACGTTGGAACTACTTGAGCAATAAAAATAAATAATATTACTACATAATGATCCTAAGAATAAAATTTAAATACATATTAGTCAATATGTATATAAATTAAAAACTGCATAAGTAATTGGTGGTAAAAGACAGCTATTCCTTTCAGAAGAATTGCAATTAAAAAAACATAAAACAAAAGAAGGAAATAGAAAACCACTATTAGGCAAATAGCACAGTAATAACTGTCTCAGACAAGATCCACTGATGAATGTTAAAATTAACAGGCAAAGATTCTTAAAGAAAGAGAATATGTGCACAGTCACAATATATCTCCCCTAAGATATTTGCTAACAATAAAATGAAAAAAACCCAGTAACTTCATTACAGTGGAAAAACTCAGCATATATCACCTTAATCAAGTTAGGGTTATGACCACAAATAAGACATCAAGAACCTGAACCTGTTGATATGATACACAAAGAAGGATCCATTCCTTCTGTGGTATTCTGGCCAAAAACGTATAGCCACATTCTAAACATAAGAAAACATCAAACCAACTGAAAAAGAAGGGCATTCTACAAAATAACCATCTAGTACTTTTCAAAAATGACAAGGTCAGGAAGGCAAGCAAAGACTGAGGAACTGTCATAGATAGGAGAGGACTATAAAGACATGATGACTAACTACAACGTGTTATCCTGGACTGGCTCCTGAAACAGAAAAGGGACATTAATGGGAAAACTGATAAAATTCAAAGAAGGTTGCTAATTTTATTAATAGTATTGTACCAATGTTATTTCCTGGTTTTGATCATTGTACTATGATTACGTAAGATGTTAACAGAGGAAGCTGAAGGGTATCTGGGAATTCTCTGTACTATTTGTGCAACTCTTCTCTAAGTCAAAAATTCAAAATAAAAAACTTCTTTTTCTTTTTGAGGAAGATTAGCCCCGAGCTAACATCCGCTGCCAATCCTCCTCTTTTTGCTGAGGAAGACTAGCCCCGAGCTAACATACATGCCCATCTTCCTCTACTTTTTATATGCGGAACGTTAGCACTTAACCACTGCCACCGGGCTGGCCCCCAAAATAAAAAAGTTTTAAAAGAGTTCTGGAAAAGCTATACTGATATGGTGATAGAAAATAGATCGATGTTGCCAGAGGTTAGGGGGTGGCTGAAAGAAGTGATTATAAAGGGACACAAGGGAACTTTTTTGGATGATAGAAATGTTCTATATCATAACTGTGTGGGTAGGCACATGACAATATTCAGTTGTCAAACCTCAATGAATTATGCACTTAAACTGGTGAAATTTTGTTATATGTAAATTATACCTCAATAAGGCTGACAAAAAAAATTCTAAATGTACATATAATCTTTAAAAAAAAGTGTTGAGTTGCAATCCCAATATAAGCAGAATGCAGAGGAAAGGTACCAAATAACACATATGCTCTTACCAGATTGATTAACTGAGTGTGTACCACATCTTCTATCAAAACTGCTGTCTCATGAAGAGGCCTCCTAGCATCACCTAAAGAAAACCTGCAAAAGAAAAAATCAAACACAACAATATTAAAGACTGTAAAGCTAAGAAACGGAAAAAGTCAAAGATACTTATTAAAATAATCTACTTAATAAACTACAAATTGTTCTCTCAAATAACAGAGAGAATGGACAATTTTCTATGGACATCTCTCCTATATAAGTTGCAACTTCCAAAGAAAAGTGAAGTGTTATCTATGCTATTTCTTGATTTGTACTCATTTTTAAGGGCATTTACTGTTTCAAAATGCAACATATTAACAACCGCTTCATAATATTGGCAACCAAAAAACGATGTTACCACATCCAAATTGCCAACACAGTAACATAATAATAGCCTTACAGAAAATTATAAAAACATGTAATGTAACTAAAACGAAAGTTGCTAGGAAAAATTTAGGTAAATGCCGCAAGTTATAATTTCTAATTATATACAAGCATATTATCAAGAATGGATTACAAAACTGATTCTAAAAGTCTTCTCAATTTTCATATGGTGAACCAGATGTGCAGAGAATCCTTTCCTGGTAAAGAACATTTGAAAATGCACAACAATATATTAAAAACATATTTAAAGCATGCTTTAACTAGCAGTAGAGAAGAAAAACAGAAGTCAGACAAGATGAGTAAATACAGTTCTACAAGATAAGAGAGTGCTGGATCAAAATTTATTCTGAAGGCATCTACTTATTCATAGCAGGCTATAGCCTGGATTTCAACTAGCATAGTATTCAAAGTATATGAAAGAATGCTGTGACCACAAGCAAGGGAGGTCAGTTCAAGGAACCTAATATGAAGTTGAAAAACTAACACTAAGATGGTGACACTTGCAGAGTGTGAACTAGCAAAACACCTGTTCCACAGAAGGCACTCTGCCTATCTCACCCAAGGCTACAAGTGGGGAAGAAAAACACATGGTACCGGCATGAAGATAGACAAATAGACAAATGGAATAGAATAGAAAGCCTAGAAATAAACCCCTATATATATATATATATATATGGTCAACTGATTTTTGATAAGGATAGAAAGAACACCCAATTTGGAAAGCACAGTCTTTTCAACAATTGATGCAGGGAAAAACAAGCTATCCACATGCAAAAGAATGAAGCTGGACTCCTACCTTGCATCATATATAAAAATAAATTCAAAACAGATCAAAGGCCTAAATTGAAGAGCTAAACCTATAAAATTCTTATAATAAAACAGAGAGGGAAATCTTCACGACCTTTGATTTGCCAATACTTTCTTAAGTATGACACTAAAAGTGCAGGCAGAAAAAGAAAATAAATAAATTGGACTTCATCAAAATTAAAACCTTTTATACATCAAAGGACACTAGTAAACAAGAGTGAAAAAGACAACTCATAAAATGGAAAAAAAAATTTGAAAATCATATCAGATAAATAACCAGAATATATAAAGAACTCCTGTAACACAACAAGAAACTAACAACCCAACTGAAAAATGGGCAATAGACTTGAATAGATATTTCTCCAATGATGATATACAAATGGCCAATAGGAAATAAAAAGATGTTCAGTATCATTAGTCACTAGGGAAATGCAAATCAAAACCACATGGAGATATCACTTTGCACCCACAAGAATGGCTATTACCAACAAAATGGAAAATGGTAAGTAGTGGCTAGGATGTGGAGAAACTGGAAATGTTGTACTTTGCTGGGTGGAATGCAAAATAGTGCAGCCACTGTGGAAAACAATTGAGTGGTTCCTGAAAATGTTAAACATGGAATTAGTACATGAACCAGCAACTGCACTCCTAGGTATATACTGAAAATAACTGAAAACAGGGATTCAAACAGACTTGTACACCAGACTTGTTCACAGATGCATTATCCACAATTGCCAAAAGGTAGAAACAACTGAAGTGTCCATCAACAGAAGAACAGATAAACAAATGTGGTGTGTGTGTGTGTGTGTGTATATATATAAAGAAATATCATTCAGTCATAAAAAAGGAAAGAAGTTCTGATACATGCTACTACACGAATGAACTTTAAAAATACCATGCTAAGTAAAATAAGCCAGACACAAAGGACAATATTGTATGAAGCCACCTACATGAGGTATCCGGAATGGATAAATTCAGAGAGACAGAAAGGAAAATAGAGGACACCGGGGCATCGAAGAGTTTTTGCTTACTGTGTAGAGAGTTTCTGACTGGGATGATGAAAACTTCAGGAATATGGATAGTTATGAGGGTTGCACAACACTGTGAATGTACAATTAATGCCACTGTTAATACCACTGGCACTGTTAATGCCAGAGAATTGTTCACTTAAGAACAGTTAAAATGGTAAATTTTACATTATGTGTATTTTACCACAATAATAAAAATGGATGAATAAAACTAATTTAGGAGCAGACTAAATTCAGTTAAAAAGATAATTAGCATTCAGGACAGGAGATCTGAGGAAATTACCCATAATGCAACATGACTAATAAGAGAATATCATGATAATATTATGCCAAAAATATTGATACTGTGGTGAAATGGGTAAATTTCTTGAAAAATATAAATGCCCAAAACTGACCCAAGAAGAAACAAAAACCCTGAATAGTTCTATAAATTTTAAAGGAATTGAATCAGCAGTAAACAAAATAAAACAAAATAACCTTACCTCATCTGTAATATTCTACCAAACATGCAAAGAACAGGTTATTCTAATTTTACACAACTACTACAGGGAAGAGAAAAAGAGAGACACTCAACTCATTTATTTAGGCTAGTATAACCTTGGTATCAAAACTAGAAAAGGACTGTAAAACAAAGGAAATTTACAGATAAATTTTACTCATGTACATAAACAGAAAAAACATAAATAAGACAAAAGAGAACAAAAGGTGGAGTAAAAGGGAATTCACTCTCTCTCCTACCCTGCACCTGCGGCCTCATGGGGAGCTCCCTATGATCAATTAACAGAAGAGAAGAGTCAAGCCTGGTTTACATATGGTTCTGCGTGATAGGCAGGTACCACCCAAAAGTGAATAGCTGCATTACTATAGTCCCCTTCTGGAATATCCCTTAAGGACAGTGGTGAAGGAAAATCCTCCCAGTGGACTGGACTTTTAGCAGTGCACCTAGTTGTTCACTTTATTTGAAAGGAGAAATGATCAGGTGTGCAATTAGATACTGATTCTCAGGCTATAGCCAATGGTTGGTTGAATGACAAGGGACATAGAAAGAACATGATTTGAAAATTGAGAAAGGAATCTGGGGGAGAGGTAGGTGGACATATCTGTCTGAAGGGCAAAAAGCATGAAGATATCTGTGTCCCATGTGAATGCTCACGGGTGACCTTAGCAAAGGAGGATTTTAATCAAATGGATACCATCAGCTTTTTTCCCCCGATTACACTATCATCGCCCAATGGGTTCATGAACAAAGTGGCCATGGTGGGAGGGATGGAGGATATGCAGGGCTCAACAACATGGACTGCCACTCACGAGGCCATCATTGTTATGGACATGGCTGAGTGCCTACCTATCAGCAGCAGAGATCAACAATGAGTCCCTGATATGGCACCATTCCCCAGGGTGATCAGCCAGCTTTGGCAACAGGTTGATTACATTAGACAATTACCATCATGGAAGCAGAAGTGTATTGTTCTTACTGGAAGCCTTACTCTAGATATGGATTTGCTGTCCCTGCATGCAATGCTTCTGCCAAACCTACCATCTGTGGACTTACAGAATGTCTATCTACTTTCTGTCACGGCATTCCACACAGCAGTGTTTCTGATCAAGAAACTCACTTTACAAAAACAGAAGTGATTCACTGGGCCCGTGGCTCATGGAATTCACTGGTCTTAACGTGTTCCCCACCATCATGAAGCAGCTGGTTTGATAGAATGGTGGAACAGCCTTTTGAAGACTCAATTGTGCCAGCTAGGTGACAATATCTTGTAGAGTGAGGCAAAGTTCTCCAGAACACTTCATATCCTATGAATCAGCATCCAGTACACAGTGCTGTTTCCCCCACAGATAAGATTCATGGGTCCACGAATCAAAGGGTGGAATGGGAGTGGCACAAGTCATTATTACCCCTAAAGACTCACTTGCAAAACTTTTGCTTCCTGTTCCCAAGATCTTATGATCTGCTGGTCTTGAGGTCTTAAACCAAGAGGGATGAATGCTTTCACATTTATTCCATTAACACAACAACTATTCCACTGAAATGGAACTTAACACTGGCTGCTTAGTCAATTTGGATTCCTCATGCTTCTGAATCAACAAGCAAAGAGGAAGTTACTGTGTAGGCTGGAGGGATTGGTCCTGACTACCAAGTGGGAACTGGACTGGTACTCCACAGTGTAGACAAGGAAGAGTATGTCTGGAAAATAGGAGATCCCTTAAGGCATCTCTTAGTATGACCATGCCGTGTGATTAAGGTCAACAGAAAACTACAATAACCCAATTGAAGAAGCACTACTAATGACCCAGATACTTCAGGAATGAAGGTTTGGTGAAGAACCAGGGAAAGAACCACAACCAGTTGAGATGCTTGCTGAAGGCAAAGGGAATACAGAATGGGTAGTAGAAAAAGGTAGTTATTAACAGCAGCCATGACCACATAACCAGTTACAAAAACAAGGATTGCAATTGTCATGAGTACTTTCTCCTTATTCTGTTACAAGTATGTTCGTGGGGGGAGGCGATGGGTGAGTGTTACACAAATACCGTGATTTCCTTCCCTCTCTTGTTCCCTTATCATACAACATAAGATGTATAGGATTTATATAATATTTAACTAAGTATTATTCATTTTACATAACAGTATTTAAGTTAGGGATATCAAGAAGTATGAACATCACCCAAGGACTAAACCTCATTTTCTGGGGAAGAGATTAGTGCATTTTCAGATGCATGTTGGATAACTGTATACGTTAGGCAGAATTATGACCTTGTTATTGTCTTTATTTGGAGATTAAATATAGTTTAAGGAGATGTATATGGGAGGCACGTTGACATGGGGTG